ACACACACACACACACACACACACACACACACACACACACACACACAGGAGTTTAAACACACAAACACAACGAGAAACAGACACGCACACACGGTCATCAGAATAGAGATGAACCAATTAGCAGGCGTCAGACAATCGGTGTGACAGAGAGAGAGAAAGAAGGAGTGAGCCGACTGAAAGAATGCATTAAAAGCACGTAAGTGTGCAGATGGCAGCAGAGAGGAAACGCAACTGAGACACCTTCACACTCTCTTGACACTTTCAAGGAAGCTCATGTGGCCAGAGGCAAATCCATTCTGACACAGTGGGTGGGTAATGTGGCGAGATGTGTGGAGGGAGCTGGGCAGACCGGGGTGACGTTCGCTGATATTATTCACAGAGCCACACAGAGGAGGAAGTGGAATACAGACACAAAGAGAGGATGGATGGGTCAACATGGGTCCTTTCTGTTTCTGAACCTAACCAAACCTTAACCACAGCGGTGTCAGGGCAGAACATGATCATATGTGTCAATCTGAAGGGCAATAGTTGGTTTCTCTGCTCATTCATTTTGCCTTTAATTTGTCTTCCGTTTACCCGCTTGTATAAACACCACTCTGCAGACGCACACACACACACACGTCTGAACTCTAACCCAACACACACACTTCCAGAGTGCCCCTCGAAAATCAAGAGCCATTACGTTTACAGTATTCGTAAATTACTCTCTCAATGCTCCTGACCTCAAACTCGTATTAGGCCATTAGCAAAGCCCCCCCCGACGCTTAACACACCGTGCACAAAACACACATAGCCTCCACGCTGCTCTGACCCCTCGAGTGCTGCTGCTGGTAATCTTTCCCGCTGATATCACCCCGGGTGAAACGTGTGACATCATGTTATGTGCTAATGTCTTGTCTTTCTTTTGGCTCGATCACTGAAGAACTTCCCGACGGTCTATCAGCGTCATATCAATTATTGTGGCTGTCAGAGCAGACAGGATGTTGCTCGGTGTAGATGGCAAGGATTTTTTTTTAAAAGGAAGGAAGTCAATCACAGAAAAGTGGACACGGTGTCTTTGAAAAGATGCTGAGTGGAGTAAAACACCTCTTGATCTTCAAAACATGTCACGCTCTCTATCACCTGTGCTTCCAGTCTTTCTCTGCTGTTCACAAGCCAACAAAACATTCATATAACGACAAGGATATTTATTTCTAAACAGCACCCTAGCTCGACGTTGCTTCTGAAGATTAAGGGGATATAAGCAACAAGTGCAGTGTCAGCTGACCATGCAAGGAGCATGACAGTGTGAACAGAGCCAGAGAGGAGATTGCAGAGATTTTGCCACTAAGCTGCTTGGGGCATAAAAACGACATCTGCAATCCCCGAACTTCCCCCGACAAATATGTCGTGTACAATTCCCTAGAAATCTCCACAACAGGGCTGAGTTTGGAAGATAGCACGCAGTGGATCCAGAGTACTCAGGATACAGAGCTGAGGGCTGCACAGGAGGATGCATTTAGGTGCATACCGTACACATGAGCATTCCATTCCCACTTTCAACTGCAACAGAAGTCCACTCAAGGTTAAAGAGTCCATCAGGATGTGTTTGTTTGTGAGGGGGGGGGGGTTAAGCTCATATGTGAGGACAGTCGGCAATTGTACTCCAGTGAGAAGTCTAAAAATATACCACACACACACACACACACACACACACACACACACACACACCCACACACACACACACACACACACACACACACACACACATCAATAAGCTAGGGAACAGAGGATAGAGAGCGGGATTCCCGTGAGGAATCAGTGGAATGTAAACAGGCCGCCCACACACACGAAATAACACACTTTCAGAGTGCTTCATCAGAGGCCGTGAGACGGCGACCTCATCTGGAAAAAGATGCCCCAGAGAACCGTGCAGTTTGTTGGGATTGTCCTCTTGGTTTACCCACTCTGTCCTCACGACGTCCTCCAAAGAGCCCCATGGGAGGCGACAGGAATGCCGCTGCATGCTGGGAAATCTGACAACCTTCAGCCTTTTGTTTGCACTAAACGTACTGTGTGCAATATCTCACAGAATTATGGGTAAAAATGATGCAGATGCACTCGGCTGCGCTGGAGACATTAGAGTTCAAAGCTAAACCAGGGTTATTAAGATTTAATGAAAAAGTCAGACGGCATTATTCTTCTTATCCCTCACCTCAGTAATGCGGCTTGCCTGTTCCTCGCACGCACAGACTTACACGCACACACACACACACACAATACTTCATTCTAATCCTATGCATGGCTCGGATAAGTGACATCAGCCCTTCTCCGGTTAATAAAACCCTCTGGGTCACACACACTGCAATTTCTACAAATGTGCGTGTGTGTGTGTGTGTGTGTGTGCTCAGACACTGGCAGTTCATATACCCAATAAACACTGGAGCTGCTTTTAGACAGCTATACTCACTTGTAGAAGAGCGAAACTTTGGGGCAGTGTTGCGGACTGTGGCACGGTGCTTTGAATAATGCACACTGAGTTGCCGACAATTTATCGGCCAGCTGACGCCATTGTTGTGTTATTAGGCCTATGGCCCACATTACCAGCTGCTCCAGAAATCGCTTTCTGGGCCGCTGAAGGATTACTGTAGGGCTAGCGCGGGAGCACACAGTCCTGGGGGCCACAAATGGGTCAAACACTGCGTGATCTGAGAAGCAGCACAAACAATGAAGCATCCAGCAGTAACCTTGAGAACTCGTTCCTTAGAGACTAGAAATCCACAACGGGACTCTTTGCACTTAATTAGTAGGAGCAAGTCTCGACGAGCGAAAGTAAACAGCAGCTAATTTCCTGTGTTTTGGCTATTCCCAGCCTTGTCATGTGGTTAGCACTCGCTCTTAGCGTTGCAGAGTTAGCCTTCCTCCTGCATGTGGCTACCGCAGCTATTGTTCTGCTGACATGCCACTAATAAACAGCCGGTTACGCCCTAATGCTGCTGTGGCTAACCTACCCGCAACTTCGGCAAATAAAGGCCCCAAGGAGTTTGAAGTTGTCTGCCTTTAAAAGGAGGGATTCCCAGTGTTTGAAGTTGGATATTCTTTCTTTAGTGGGGAGAAAGGAAGTGTGTTTATTTCAGCTTTCAAGTGTTTTTTTGTTGCAGAAATCGGCCACGAAAACGCAAAAGATCACATTATTTTCTGATAGCAAGCATGAAAAGTTAAATGTAGTGAATTTAAAAACGCAAGTGACTCTCAGGAATCTAAAATAAAAGTAAATGTAAAGAAAGAAAGAAAGAACTTCAGGACTGACTGTGGAAACTTTAATTCATTCCTAGCAACCCTTCTTGACTACTGCCTATAAAGTATTACTTTTCCCATTTATCCCCAAAGTTCCTTAAATAAATGGAGAGAAGAGAGAAAAGATGATGTGATAAAAAAAACACACTCTATGGTCGTTATAACGGCCTTTTATATTTCACTGTAGGATCATGAGGGCCCATTAAATCAGCCAGACTGCAACGGTTACAGAAAAAGTGTCAAGCTGGGAGCCCTTTCATGTGAAGAGCCAAGAAGGTAAAGAAAGCAACGGATGTTTGGAGCCCCGCCCCATCATCCTCTAAGATTTCTACAGGAAATGAAAGAGATAGAGTGGAAGTGAAGCAGAAGAAGACATGAACCAGCTGCTGAAGCAAGACAAGCTGCTGGGAGACTCTATTTAGCCCCCCGAGGAAAATCTCAACACCTCTGAGAGGCTAAAAACTCTTGTTGAGTTACTCTTGTTGTTATTGAGCTGATGTTCAAAACACACAAACACAGTCAGGGGAGAGCATTTTGTACAATTAGGAGCAACAACAGCGACAGGACTTGTGAAAAGGTGTGATATGCAACATATGTTCCAACCTGGACTCCAACCAGCAACACACATATGGTGTTCATTAGTGCACTGACCCATGAAGAGGAAACTGCTGACCATGCAGCCAGGATTACAGTCCTTCAGCGGTTGAGTGCAGCGTCATGGTACCGACATGACGGGGGGATCGATTTGGTCTCTGTGGCATTTGCTGGTAGTTGTTCAGTGTCTATCGGTGGTGCTGAAACCATCGATGACGGAAAGAACAATCAATGACACTTTCTGCCAAAGACTGTTTTTTTAAGGCATTTTATTTTGGATAGTTTTGATAGCAGAGAGTGATGAGAAGTACTAGAATAGGGAGTTGGTGTTTGGAGGTGATTATCATCCATAGTTACATGTGGAGCTGAAATTATTAGTCGACAGAAAATGATGTGGAAGTTTTGACAGCTGATAAAATCAATTTAGTCAAACCTTTAAGCTTGAATATCAAAGATTCACTGACTCCAGCTCCTCAAGATGCATGCTGCTTTTCATTGTGTGCTTTGATAGTTGACCGATTACCTTCGTGTTTTGGACTGTTGATCGGACAAGACCAGAAACTTGAAGTTGTCACCTTGAAATCTGGGAAAAACACAATGGGAATATAATATTATTTTTTTTGTCGACAACAAGTCATCATTTGATCAATAACTGGGCAGATTTCCCAATAATAAACGGATTTTTATGGCAGCGCTATAACATGATGCTTGACACCAATCACTAAACCTTTCAATGATGGATTACTTCTGAAGTTAAAAACAGCTTTTCTGTGCTTCACATCATTATGTATCGACTTCCATTTGACCGTCACATGTAATTTTCAAGGCATCACGTTTCGCTTTTGATGACTTATGGTGAACATCTGCCATTATGTTTCACTACATACACTAAATTATGAATTTAAAAAAAAGTAGATGAATAAATAATGAAATTAGTTGTACCCTGTGGCGATCCCCTCCGCCCTGTCGGCCTGTTACTAGTAAGCGTGGCTGCAGGATGCTGCAGGATACTGCAGGAGGGCGTGGCAGAGGTTCTTCAGCAGAATGTGACACTGCTCTTTAAAATACACTCTTACTTCTCCGTCCTACACGAGACGTTATGGTTTCCCTCTTATGTTGTCTTTGAATGGATGAATAATCTGTTGATTTGCTTGGTTGTCATCATCTCCATCTTCTGCCGTGGCCGAGCAGCCCCGGTTCCTGACATTACTTTGTCCATCCGCAACAGATTAATGCTATCATGTGAGGGACAGTGTGTAACAGGCATCTGTGCCAGAGTGTGTGTGTGTGTGTGTGTGTGTGTGTGTGTGTGTTGTACAACAAACACCCGGGGGATCAAGAAAAGCTTGTTAGCATCCCTCCCGATGTTCGGAGGTCATTCGCCCTCCCCAGGTCTTGTTATCACTCGGCGGGCCAGTAAAAAATGACGATGCATAAAGGCGCCCTCAGACGCAGTCGGGGAACGCCTCGCTGGATTTAAAAACAACCTTGAAGTTTGGCGTAGGAGCGCACGGGAGATGACATATTCACACAAAGAGAGAACACAGACACAGACGCGTTACACATCGATTATCCCCCGATGACTGGCTGGCTTTGTACATCACTGTGGTGTGTCTGGGGTGTGGGTGTGTGTGTGTGTGTGTGTGTTTGGCTTTATGACAAGTTAATAAAATGACTCACGTGCTGCAATCATGCTCAAATCTCACTGAGATGGTAAAGAGCAGAAAGGATGGTTTAGAAGTCACTGTCAATATGTACGGTTGTCTTGTATAGACTATAAACCTGTGTTTACTCTTCCTATGTGTTCACTCCATTATGTGTCACTTACATGCCGCAGATTAAGGAAACAATGTCTGGTGGCTCAAGTAAAGTAAATAGTCCTTGAAGCCCTATTGTCACCCGTCTTTGCAGAGCTCATGAGGATTGCCTCTTGTCCTATTCATCGACAAAAACAAAATATTTGGAGTTTATTGAAGAAGTTGCTCTGTGCTCATTTTGGTGCGATATGACTTCATGTCAGTGTCACAGGTAGACTGTGACTAAAGCAGTGCCAGCTGTTGTGAGTGACACAGCAGCGATTCAGAGGCAGGAACTAAGCGATGAACATACAGTCCAGTCTCACTCACACTTAAACACACACACACACACACACACACACACACACAGCATTACACTTAATACAATGTAGAGGGAAAGTGTTTTGTGTGTGTGTCGTCATTCATTGTAATTCTCCCATAATCCTTTACTCTGTGAAATGACACAGCTGCCAGACATATCCTCTTTGTTGGCGCCTCAAACCTCCACTCCTTTCCTTTCCTTTCTTTCCTTTCTTTCCTTCCTCCCTCTCTCTCTCTCTCTCTCTCTCTCTCTCTCTCTCTCTCTCTCTCTCACCCACATAGACTCTACAACCACAACATCTCCTAAAACATCCATCCGAATGGCGCATCATGATTATGTATGCAATAGTAATAATAATAAATCAAATAGTCTAATTAAAGGGATGCAATCGACGCGCATTCATCACCATGTCGACTCGATAATTGGAAACAAACAAACTCCATTCAGAACGGACAATCTGCTAAATTGTGACAGAATAAAAATGACTGAGTTTGTTTTGGACTGGAGGAAGAAGATGAATAACAGCACGCTCGCTTCCCGTCTGCGACGACTGAACACACCCTGTCTATGCAGACAAACATTCACAAGCACACACACACTTTGCTGCCTAATCCCCAAACGGTTGGTGGTATTAAGACTTGTTTGTATAAACCCATGAAAACATCTGTACGTTCATAAAGACACGATGAACTCACAGGCTTCTGCGGGTATACAACATGAAAAGGGGAGGATGATGAGGGGGGAAAAAAGAGAGCAGAAAATCACGATACGGAGCGCCCACATGCCGATAGCTGGCACTTTGGTGATGGCAGTCTATCTAATCATTCCCCAAAAAACCCTGTAACCAGGGGCGACAGGGCCTTGACGATGCACAGACAGAACTCATTGGTTCTCCATTAGCTTGTTGCCAAGGGGCTGATAATGCAGGCCGTTCAGATGTGCACGCGGGTATAGAAAACACTTGTGCATGCATGAAAACACAATGTGACGACACGGACAAACACATACTTAAGGTACATGTGCATGCTGTCGCACAAGCCTGAACACACTTGCTTTCATACACCGACAAACTATCCTTCACATCCGACATTATCCAAACGATTGAGTTACTGAGACAGTCAATACGCTAGCTCGCATTGAAGGAGGAGAAATCGATGCTGTTACACTACCCGAGCAATTCATCATCAGCTAACAATCCAGAAAGACCGCCGAGGGCCAAAAGACAGAGCGGTTCTGTTACCGCGTTGAGGAGTGTGATCTGATGAATATTCGCAGCGAGCTCCACAAAAAGGGGGAGCAGATTGTGTGTTTTTCAAGCGGCGCACAATACTGACTCGGATTCAACGGCCACTGTGATCTGCTTTCCCCCCCCCCTGCAAATTCTTGTTGACTGAATCTGCGCACGCTTGGCTGACGGTGTCGAGTTTGTGAAGCGCCAAGCGGGCTAACTCTGCTCGAAACGATGAGCTATACGTGCTAACCTCCAGCCATCAGAGGATGCAGGAGGACAGCGCAGAGACGAGTGCTTCAACATCAGAGCAAACGGGATGTGAAGTTTCTGGAACAGTGATGGTATTGTTGGGAGAGAACCACGGAGGGGGGTGGGGGGGGGGCTTTAGGTTACAATCTCCGCGTGGCTTGGGTTTACTGACGGAACACAGAAAAAGCACAGAGCTCGTCTGCACACGCGGCAGCTATTGTGTTCAATCTCTCAAAAGAAAGAAATCCCCCATCCTCCAGAATTTGAACACATCTGTGGTCATCCGTGGGTCTGTAGAGTTTGTGTTGCTTAAGCTGGCCATTAACTCTGTGAGTATTGTGTGTGTGTGTGTGTGTGTGTGTGTAACAGGCAACGCAGAGTCATTAGCGGTGTTGCTTTCAGCGTACAGCATGCTTAATGAGAGGCCACGCCGCCGGAGTGATTAGTTACTGTGAAGGCTGAGGGCCAACACAAAGTGTGTACGTGCTAAAGGGGGGGGGGGGGGTGTACATTTGGATGTTAAACCCAGATTTATTTTAAATCATCTCAGTTTTGAGTCTGTGTGTCATAAGAACCCCCCCCCCCCCCCTTTACATCATGTAAATTGCTAAAAAGCAACATTTCCTGGTAGTCAAATTCAATGAGAGCTGAGAACTAACACAGAGCCAGAGATCTGTATTCAGAAGCCAAACCCTACACCCTTTGTGTTGCTTTTTATGAGGCATTGTGTGGCTGAGATCAGCCTAAAAATAACCTTCATAACATGGTTGAAAAGAAGCTCATCCCCCAGCCTCATTTGTTGCTCTGAGTCAGGCTTTCAATTTACTGCTTTACGACCGGGTGTGTGTTTATTGCCACGAGTTGGTGTGTATATATGTGTGTGTATATGTGTGTGTGTGTGGGTGCGATTAAAACGAAAGGCAAAGTTGCTTGCGTGGGGATGGGATAAGAAAGAGCTGACGAATAATATAGAGCGGGAGCTGCTGTGGCCTTCCCCCAGCCTGCGACTCCTTCTTCAGCACTGCAGCAGCTTTTTATCAAGCGCGACGAAGGAGGACTGAATAGGTTTCCTATTTATTGTGAGATTTTAAAAAAACACAGGCGTGACCGGACCATCTTTTATTGCTCCTGACAACTTGAGAGAAAACAATTCTCTCGACATTCATTCGAATCAGAGCAGGAGCGCAGCAGCAAGAGGAGAAACGCCTACAAGCAGCTACACTTGTTGGCATGGATGCATTGTCAGCAGATATTAATAACCATGAACCCTGGTGATCTTCAGTGTGCGTTAGTGCGGGTCATTAGTCGCAGACAAAACATGAATCTGGAACTACTTTGGTTCTGGTTCCCACTTCTTACATTGTCTTTGTAGTACATAATAGTTAACTAAATATTTATTTCACCAACATGACATTTTATTGCCAAATGTATTAATCAACAACATAAGCTGCAGGTTAATCCATTACAAAAATAATGAGGTGGTTGCAGCATTAGCAGGAGGTGGACAACAGTCCGCGACCACAGCAATGCTTTGAGCTACATGCTAACGTCAGCGTGCTGATGTTTACCATGTTGACAGAGAGCTTGTTGTGTTAGCATGCTAACACTTTCTAACTAGGACGTAACAAAGAACAGCTGATGGGAATTAGTTGGGCAGGTATTTAATCTTAAAACAAATGTTTTTGATCCGATGATGCACGAGACATTTCGATAAAAAGGGAGGCCCGTAGATTTGAAAATCTTACATCTGAGCGCTAAGAATGTTTTGTCTGGCGAATCCACATCAACTTGGTCTGATTACAACTTAGATTTCCTGCTGTCACTTCCTAGTCTGTCTGAGAGTTGTCATTGGCTCAATTCCCCATCCTCTGCTCCATCCTTATTCCTCTGGGTTCATTTGTGGATGAGTCATTTCCAAACCTCCACCTAGAGTAGAGCCTTTGATAACTGCTATCCCCCCCCCGACATTCTCTCAGGATGGCTTCACGTTTGGATTTCTGCCTCACGCCTCCCCTTTGTACAAAGAATGTTTGCAGTTGATTATAAAAGAAAGTGTCCCGGAGACTCGAAGCCCTCTGTTACAAACTAGCTATCTATCCCGTGCGTCATCCTAAACTGTCGAAAGAATAGACCGGAAAGCGCTTTTTCTTCACTTCACTACACAGGGTTCCACGTTATTTCTCGACTCCCGTGTCCTTTCCTCTCCTATTTTCACCCCTTCACCCGTCCCTTCTAATCCTCTTTTTTTCTCTTTAACTCTTCTCTCCCGCCATCATTTCCTCTCCTCGGCCCCTCAGTATGCGTAGAAAGCTGAGGGCCCTGGCTCCGGTTCAAACCCTTTTGATGTCGCTGCTCAGCAGAGCACCCTGCTGTGGTCGGGTCTCTTCATTTTCTTTAAAGCTGCCCTTGCCCCCTCTCCCTCCCTCCCTCTCCCTCTCCCTCTCTCATCTTCCTCCCTCTCTTTTTCTTCCTCTCGTCAAAACTCCCACTCTTGCTTTCTGAAGAAAGGAGGTGCTGCTTCCGGGAGCTTTGTCGGCATTTTTTTCAAAAGTGCTAATCCCTGGGCCATGTGTGTACTCTCCTCAACCTTTTACAGGTCAAATATAGTCGTTTGAAGTCAGGGTTTCTTGTTCCTTGTTCGTTATTATGTGAAAGATGCCTGCGTGTGATTGGATCTTATGGAAAAAGGCTGCAATCTCATTATTAATATCAATTAACAACTTTTTAAGTATTTATTAATGATTCCCAACATTTAGAACTGCATGATTACCAACAAATAAAGGATTAACTGTGATAAAAATAATAATAATAATTTTTGACCGTTTTTTAAAATATCTATTAATCATTAATAAAGACATTAGTCACAACATGAGGGTATAAAAAAGATCATTCAATGAACTAGCTCTAGCTGTACAATATGTAAATAGTTTGTTCAACAAATAAAAGTGTACATTGTCCAATTTTGTGGAGGGAAACTAACTTTTCATAAGAAAACCATCAGGGACCAACTGTCCAGGAACTGAACGGCCCCTAACTTAACTCTAAACAATCAACTCTTTCTTCTTCCTCTTGGCTCAAACATCTTTTCCCCCCAAATTCTATTGATCAACTCATTCACAACTCTCTCTGTCTAATTCTCTGTACATCTCTCTCTCTCTCTCTCTCTCGTTTCTCCTTCCGCCCTTTACGTTTGGACGTTGCCATTGTCTGCTCCTGGATAGCGAGGCATATTTACCAGCAGCCAGCGGAGGCAAAACAACCAGCCCATTCAAAGAGCTCAGCAGTGGCAGAAGATGGAGAAAGGAAGGAGGAGGAGGAGGAGGAGGAGGAGGAGGAGGAGGAGGAGGAGGACAGAGCGGGAGAAAAACAAGAAGGAGACGGAGAGTAAATTCCCTGGATGCACTTGCAGATATCAGTGAAGCACACAATGTGTGTAAACAACCCTTAATGGCTATAATGGCCTCCTCCTCAAGCTTTCTTGCAGTTCTCGTGTTGCAAATTGTTGCATTCAGAATCACACACACACACACACACACACACACACACACACACACACACACACA